GCTGCCCTCCCTCATGTTCAGTTGTCTATGTCCCTATTCCCCGAGGAACGCACCTGACATGCCTCCTATGCTGCTACAGCCATTATGCCAGCTCTATGCTACCCAGGAGCTCCTCAACAAAGAAAATGCAGTGCAATGATAAATTTGGCCCTTATTCTTCAGTCTCTGCCCCAAACTGCTACTCGCACAAAATGCACCACAGTGACATAATCCAAGAGCAGAATTTGGTCAATGGAAGCAGGGGAATGAGGGGTGCATGTGAGAGAATATCTGTGTTAGCCTTGCAAAACTTGACAAAAGTAAAATATTTTGGCAAAAGTTTGCACCTATAATCACTTACATGAGAATCTTTGAGGGTCAGATCATGCAGTCCTGGTAGGCCTTGGCCCATAGTAAGTAATCACATTTTAAAACAAAAGTTCTGGAGTTCCCCATGCTTACAATGCAACTCTCTCTAAGTAAGTCTTCACTTTGTAAAAGCTGCTTTCAGAAGTCATGATCAGCCAGTGGCATGCCCGATAGCAGCCTTCAAGGAAGGGCTCAGCACACATGGGAGTTGGGATGCATTGCCCTACTGAACATCTATCAACAGTACTGCACTTTCACTAACCTATTACTAGTTCATGATCACAAATAGTAACCAACTTTATAAGCTCCAACCTATGTAAAGGAGAATTTGTACTCAGCCTTAAGAAACTGATTACACTGGTACTGTCACTTAGTAGTAACAGATCTAACTAGTTGCAGCAAGTATTATTATGCAATAAGATGTCCATTACTTGGATCCATGGCGATACAAATAGCAGGATGACATTGCATTCCTATACTTAAAGTATTCAGCTCAATGTGATAGAGCCCCGTAGAATGCAATTTTCCAGTTTTTTTCTTGTTTCTAACCATAAGTACTAGTGCACTAGGGAAATCTTTTTAAAATCAGATGAATACCTCTCTAGGGCTTACCAGTTAGCAGTGTAAGGAAGCAGACAGTTCTGAATGGCAGTTTGATAAAAGCTTCCAAGCAAGTGTGTGGATTGAGATTTCTAGCAAGACACAACCACACACAATGTAACAAAATGATAGTTGGATTGACCTGTCGATGCTTAAACTGAACTGAGAGCGATCACAGAAGGGCCAATTACCTTCAGACTGCCAGTTTTCTGGACAAAATAATATGTCTGCCCTATATTTCAAGACAATGAATCAGTGTACTGATTCTTCTTGTTAAGGAATATATAAGCATGAAAAGATGCTGGAAATTACAATATAATATTTTTATTTCAAATCGCTTTTAATCCCTCTGGACAGAATCATTTATTGTTAAATCTACAACAATTTAACTCAATCTATTACTTTTGCAAGATTTTTGGCAAACAGAATAACAGAAACTACAGACAAATCGCTATCTTCATCACAGTCTAAAATGGCTTTTTGTAACCTATAGGTCCACTAGATTAAAACACAAACAAATGTTATATCTTAATTTCAGTTACAATTATCTACAGTCTGCAAATTTATAATATTTAACATTTTACTTAAGTGAACAAAATATACCTTTACCACCAAACAAACAAATAAAACCACTGAGATGATCCATCAGTGATTTGAAATTAGGCAGGCCATTCATCCTGTTTTAAGCCAGACAGTCCTCTTTGTCTATGGTTTTGACCCGTCTGATATTGAGAAAAAAAAATCGGGTGTGCATATGTGATAAATGAAGGGGGGGGGGGAAGAAGCTCCCTTTTATGACACCCAGCCAGCCAGTTAACTATAAAGTCCCTCTTGGTGGCTGTTCTCTGCTTGCTTTACCTGTAAAGGGTTAAAAAAGTCCCCCAGGTAAAGGAAAGGGAGTGGGCACCTGACTAAAAGAGCCAATGGGAAGGCTAGAACTTTTTAAAAATGGGAAAAAAGCTTTCCCTTTGTCTCTCAGTTGTTCTTTCTTGGCTGAAGAGACGAGGCAGCAGGAATGCTGTGTAAAGTTTGAACCAGGTATGAAAAATTATCTTCCCTACCTAGAAGGATTCATTGGGACAGGGAATGTTTAGATAGACGCGATCAGATTTATTTCTTTATTCTGGCTTGTGGATCTCCTCTGTGCTAAGCTCAGGTATTTTTGTTTTCTTTTATAACATTAAGCTGGACCCCAGGGAGCTATTCCTGGTGTTTAACCCCTTTTCCATTGCTCTATAACATCTCGCAATAGCCTGATTTTCCAGATGTGTTTTCTTTCTTCTTTTTTTAATAAAATTTATCTTTTTAAAAACCCGATTGGTTTTGTGTCTCAAAAGGTCTGTGCATATGTTTTTCAATTAGCTGGTGCCAACAGCTGGGTTTCCCTTTTGTTTGTTTTCGTTCTCAGCTTCCCCAAGGGAGGGGTGGAAAAGCCAAGGGGCCTCAGGGAAAACTTCCCAAGTGAGTCTTTCCAGGATTTGCAAGAGGCAGTTTTTCACTTGGGTGGTGGCAGGGTTTACCAAGCCCAGGTCAGAGAAAAGCAGTAACCTTGGAGTTTAATACAAGCCTGGAGTGGCAAGTATTAATTTTTAGAATCCTTGCGGGCCCCCACCTTCTGCACTCAAAGTGCCAGAGTGGGGAATCAGTCTTGACAGCATATGTCCAGTACCATGGATGAGAGACATCATTTTGAAGAGCATGCTTCTCCACTCCTGCCAGCATGATCTTGCATGCACTGTGCATGTGAGGTCACACCAGCAGGGGCAGGATGGCGCGCTCTTCAAAATGGCAACCTCCTTGTGGCATGACCTCGGAAGTACTGGAATGTCCTTTATTATGAGGATGTGGCAGTGGCCATCCTATTTGAACTAATTCTTCTCTTTCAATTTCATTTTCATTAGAAACAGACTCAAACCAAAACCATGGATCTGAGAAACTGCAAACATTTATTTATTTATTTATTTTGGCAGGGAAGGCGTTTTGAAATCTATACCCAGATTTGAATTTCCCAATTTGAGGTCATCTCTAGTTATGACATATTGTTTTCCAGTGATCATGTACTGTGAGTTGCAAAGCACGGTTAATGCCACATCTTCTGTCTGAAACTGCCATAGACTTGAATAAGAGCTCTGGCAGGATACTGAGCTAGATGGACCATTCATCTGACCCAATAGGGCCATTCTGATGTTCTTATGTACTGGCAGGGAATCAGTTAAACCTGGGGTGAATGCCAAATCATCATTTGGCTAATGCTCCCCCAAATGGCCATGTGTATAGTGCTGTGATCATTGGGGATGGGAGTCAGCTATGTTTGGAAGAGGGAAGGCACCAAGAAGTTGTTGAAAATGCTGCTTTAAAATAGACACATTTATAAAATCAATACACAGCACATCTGGAAGGGAACAAAATTAAAGAAGATATGCACACAAAAAAGAAAAAGAAACAGTCTTATCTCCTAACAGAACTTTGACTTGGCCAACCAGCATGAGCAATAGATAGTTCCATTTCTCTGATGAAAGTCAGGCAAGAAAAGAATGACCATACCCCTCCCTCCAAACTCCATTTCTTTAAGTCACTCTAGGCCAGATCCTTGCCCCCTGCCCCGCCATGAAGTTTGCTTTGTTTTATCAGCACACAACAAATTTAAAATTGGCTACAGTCATCTGATGAGGATTCCTTTGGCCTAGAGGAATCTCCAATGTCAGAGCCAGTTTAGCTGGCCCTTTATGATATCCCTTTGCAACCCATGCATAGGAATGCACTAGGCTTATGGCTGGGAAAAGGTGAATAGCCAGAGCACTGCTGTGCTCCTGCATTCCCAGTTGCTAGCACAGCCTTTTGAGGGATACTGCAGCTAGGTGCAGATTAGAGAAGCCCTATAGTTGCTCCAGATTACACTGGGGCCTAGATTACTCAGCCAGCCTCAGGATTATTGGAACATAAAGGTGTGTAACGGCACCACGACTCACCATATAGCACCTCCTGCTGGTCGTCCAGGGAATTAGCTCGCCAGCCTCCGGAGCGCCCTCTGCAGGCCAGTGTCTCGCTTGCCGCTGGCTCCGGTGTCCCTCCCAGACCCCAGTGCCCCTTCTCTTGGGGTTCTGCCCCCTGCAGTACCCCACAGTCTCACTGGGTCTCCCCTCCCCAGGGAACCCCCAATCCCCTATCCCCACCTCGCCTCAGTCTTTGGCTACTGCCAGTCACAATCTAGCCCCCGCTCACTGGGGCGGACTGCAGTATAATTGCCACTCATCATCAGCAAGGAGGGTCTGGACCTGCTGCCTCTGCCTACCTTGGGCTGCCCCACTGCAATCCCAGTACCTTCTTCAGCCTTTAGCAAGGCCTGCAGCCTGGGGGTTTTCCAAGCAAGAGCTCCCCAGCTCCTCTGGCCTTTCCCCAGTCCTGCTCCAGTCTAGGTACCCTGCTCAGCTCCCAGCAGCCAGGCCCATCCCTCTCAACATCTAGAGAGCGACTGCTCCAGTCTAGCAGCCCCTTTTTAGGGCCAGCTGAGGCCTGATTGGGGCGTGGCCCAGTTGCGGCTGCTTCCCCAGTCAGCCCAGGCTTACTGGTTCCCCGCTACAGCCCTCTCACAGGGCTGTTTTAAACCCTTTAGGGCAGGAGTGGGGTTACTGCCCCGCTACAAGGTGGTTTAGAGCCGCCTTTGACTTCCAGCTGTTCCTCTCCACCAGTGGATTCTACACCATATAGAGCTCTGCAAGCCTGAAGATCTAGCACCTGCGTCCAGGTTCCAGTCCTCTGTCTCTAGGCTCTCTAGTCAAAAGCTGTCAAACAGCCTGATTAGGCTACACTACACTCTGGTAGAGGTAAGAAGTGAACCTGGACCTTCTACCTTCCAAGTCTCAAATACACATTTTTGGCCATGTCTTTCAGAGAATTTCTCACTACTGACTATGATCATTCCGACAAGTCCTCTTGACTGCTCGCTCAAGATGTTTCTTTTCGTGTGTTGTCCATTTCTTTCTCTCTTCACTGACTCTCATTCAATTCTGACTTTCCAGTGTATCTATTCTGCCCTGCACCTCTTTTTTTTCCTCTCCCATAACTTGATGATGTCATCTGTAATCAAGTGTTGCTTTTTCAGACTCCTTAGTCCAAGTTCTCCAGCAATCTATGGGATAGAATCCTACAATAAGTCCTTTTCCTTCATGGTAGACAGCTGGTCATCCAATATAGAATACTCGTTGGAAATTGCAATCACATAACCATTAGCACTCCTTTCATTATGAAGCTTATCAACACTGAGGAGTAGGAGGAAACTGACCAGAACCCTTACTTGGATCCAGAATGGGCACGGATTTGAGTGGCTAAAGAAGTGAGTTACACTCTGTAGACAGAGTTAATAAACCAGACCCCTTGAATGTGGGTATATGTTTGAACTAATCTGGGCTGCACAATGACTGAAAGAATTGAGGCTGTGTGCTGCAGAGCCAAAGGGCCCCCAGCGACTGCCCCCACCTTTACTGGCAGGCCAGATGTAGGAATGGATCTGACAGGAAACTAGTTGATGAGATTTTAAGTCGCTAGTGGGAACCTAGTATGAGTGAGTGGGAATTTCTGGACTTCGCTGTTTAAGAAAAGTAGGATTTCAAGGCCTTATAGAAATCCAAGCAGTGCCAGAAGATTCCCTTCTGTGCCTTGGGGTTTGTTGCAGAAGTTGGGGAAGGAGAGGAATCTCCTGATCAAGGTGAAAAGAGGTGGCGAATTTAGCAAGGGAGCTACGACAAGTGCAAAGTACTGTTTTTCCTTATGAAAATTGAGGCACAGGGGAGCGCAGGCCACCACCATTAGCCTAACTGGGCTGTGATGCTACTGACAGCACTGTTCTCCAGGAAAGCATGTTGAGGGACTCTGTGGCAGGGTATATTATTGCACAGGTTTTGTTCCCAGTTCTCCTGCTTCCTTAACCACAAGCCCATTCTTCCTTATAAGTGATACACCTGAGTAACAGTAATAGAGGTACTTGTGGC